GGGGGGGGGGGAGGGAGGCCTTACCCAGCAGCTCCACCACTTGTAGGAGGACAGATGTTGGGATGGTGTCGGGCTCATCTTCGGATCTCCCTTCGCTGTCCTCTAATCTCCAGGACAGCAGCTGCTCCGCGAAGGCCATGGCCAGAGGGAACTCCAGAGGCAAAGAATGCAATACCAGCACGGCTCCGGGCGGTGGAGACACCCCTGGAAGAGGGGCCAAGGAGAAAGGCTCATAATTGGCAGCACTGAAGCCAAAATAAACCTAAGAAAAGGACCCACCAGGTGTGCGTGGAAGAACAGGGCCGGAAAGCCCACCTGCTCATCTGTTGGAGGGGAAAAGAAACGTAACCCCCGCCCCCCCCATTCCAGACCATCAGCTGCAGGTGCAGGAGGAGCCAGAGGCCATCCCTCCGAGGAGTCCATTTGTTGGTACAACAACGGGACAAAGGGCAGCAACGAGAACAGGGAAGGAGACACTCCCCAGCTGGTTAGACACCCACCAGCCGAACGACCCAGCAGGGAAATACTAAGTCAGACTCTAAAGGTGCTTCATTGGAACATTCCCATCTTGGTAAAGAAATACTCAGCCGTTTGGTGTGGCTGCAATCCTGTGAGACCATTAAGCTTATAATTAAGTTACAGAGCGGACCAGCTAGGGGTGCCCCAGACTAGCACTACCAGGGCCTTGGGCTTTGATATTCTCTTATTACCCTATGTCACTGCCGTGGCCTGAATCTGGCCTGAGACGCAACAGTGAGAGGAAAAAGGCCCTGAGGTCTGATCCCCCCTTGTATCCTGCACCGTACCCCAAGGCCCGCTACAAGTCCTGACCAGACAGAAGTCAGGGCGCCAGGGGCCTGGAGATCTCTGGACAAGTTCAGAAGGAACCATAGTGACTGGCCTGCACTTAGGGGTGAATGTTTATATAGTGATCACTGGGGAATGAGAAGATAGAGAACTTCTGTTTTACAATTATAAAGTTTAAAAAACAGCTAGTATAGGCAAAACGCTATGAAAAAATCGGTTCTAATAAAATGAGATCATAAAGTTGTTTAGCAATAACCAAATCACTTAAGTAGTCTCCTTTTGTTTCATTCCATAGAGACACAAGGACAGGGGCTGTGGAAAAGCCGAAGGCCCCGCCCCAACCCTCTGCCTTTTTTTTTTTTTTTTTTTTTTTTTTTTAGAGAGAGAGAGAGAATGAGCAGGGGAGGGAGCAGAGAGAGAGAGAGAGAGAGAGAGAGAGAGAATCTTCAGCAGGCTCCACTCTCAGCACAGAGCCTGATGTGAGGCCCGATCCTACGACCCTGGTATCATAACCTGAGCCAAAATCAACAGTTGGATGCTCAATCAACTGAGCCAGCTGGGCACCCCTCTAATACATTTCATCGTGTCTAACAAACACACGTCCGTCTTTTCTTATCAAACGTGATGAGGAATTGAGGTGGAAGTCTGTGACCAGGTCGTCCTTTCCTCTGTGTGTCTGCTCCGGACAGTCAGCTGGCCCCAGGGCACAGGTTTAGCCTCACCTCAACCTAAAACCATGCAGGCTTAGCAAAGAATGCTGGGGAGACAACACCAACTAGGCCTCCCACCAGGCAGTTCACCACTTAGACTGGGGGGTGGGGAGCAGACGCTCACTGTGGCCTGAACCCCAGGGGAGCCACTCGCACGGGAGAGAATTTGTTTTCATGGAGAACTTGAGAAACGCAGCTGGGAGTATTGTAGCTAAATCACAAGGCTGCTCTGTTCCCGTCACTCTAAAGAGCATCCACTGGCGATAAGAAAGGAACTGTCCACTGAGGTCCAGGCAGCAGGTGCAGGTCCTCCCTGGGTAGGAAGGGTGCTCCCTTCACCTCCTGTCCCTAAAATACACTATCCCAAGCGCTTCTGCTCTTTACGGACTGGGCACTGGAACACAGCAAGGTACAAAATCCTTTCTATCTTCAAAGAGAAGGAGAGCAGAGAGTAACCTCAAGCTGTGCTGATCACCAAGAGCTAATTCAGAGACCTACCCAGTTTGATGTGGACCTTGTCCGTGGACAGGATCACAGAGGGGTACTGGTTGGCCGTAGGCGGCGGCGTGAGGCCGGTGTTGGCCGGAGATGCATCCCTCGGATAACACACGGCCTCGATCAGGTTTAGCTGGCCGTTCCGCTTGACTTTGTGGCCAAGCCCATACACGAGCACCCGTGCCCATGGCGCCTTGTACAGGGAGGAGCTGAGGAGTGGAGGAGAGGAAGGGAGGAGAGTCAGCGGGGTCCGGGCGCACGCGCCAGGGATGGGGAGCAGACTTAGCCCCAGAAGGAGGGTCGGGATCGGGCATTTGTGAGTCATTCCCACCATTAAAATTTTTTTCTAATGTTTGTTTATTTTTGAGAGAAAGAGAGACAGAGGTGTGAGTGGGGGAGGGGCAGAGAGAGGGAGAACAATCCGAAGAAGGCTCCAGGCTCCGAGTTGTCAGCACAGGGCCCGGCGTGGGGCTCAAACCCACAAACCGTGAGCTCATGACATTAGCCAAAGTCGGATGCTTGACCGACTGAGCCACCCGGGTGCCCCCATTCCCACCATATTTTAGAAGGTCGTTCTTCATAAAGACTAATTTCCAAAACACAGAAATATGGAAAGAACTATAGATTATTTTCAAATATAGTATGCATTAAACAATAAAAACAATCTGAGTTTTTCTTCTGTCCATTTCACCAGAATCCATTTTTCTCTTCTCTCCCGTCACCTCTCCCGGAGAAGGGGCAACTTACTCTTTGCGGAATCCAGACTGACTTTCTTTGCACGACACCACGACGAAAGCCGCCCCGGGGAAGTTAACATCCATGTTGACTTTGGACTCTGAGATGGGGAACTCTTCGGAGGGGAACTGCTCCGGGGCTGTCTGCAGAGACATTTAACCAGGAAAGGCACAGGGTACCCACAGGGGAGCATTTCACCTCCCAACTCCCAGGCAAGGGGCAGGGCCAACAACGCATGCGTGGTCACAGGCTCAGGAGGACCAGAAAGCCACCTGGGGCAAAGGCCAATGCAGACGGGACCGGGCGGGAAAGCCTCGAGGGAAAGGAGACTGGTTCGGAAGGCGGGGGCGGTTGGGGAAGCGAGAGGGTCATTCTCAGCAAACCAATAAGCCTTCCACTGAAAGGTGACAACCCAGGTTCAGGGAGAGTTGAGTGTCAGACCGGTACCTGCAGGAAAGAGCAGAGCTGTTTCGTCAGCTCCAACAGGCTCTCCTCGCCCTGGTGCAGGGTCCGGGTGATGGCCACGCTGAGCCACTCTCTCACTATGTGGGAGCTGCCCTGGTAGAAGAGGTCTGTGGCCGAGCAGTTCTGGGAGCGCACGCAGTGCTGCAGGGACTGTGCCAGGAGGATGGAGCTGGAGCTGATGGTGCCATCTGGGGCCAGGAAAGAAGACCTAAGTTCCCCAGAACCGCAGCGGCCCATGGCTCCCAGGGAGAGCCTGGGAACCGACCAGCAACCCGTCCAGATAGCCAGGCCGGGACAGCTCGGACCCGGCACCTCGGCTAAGATGTTGCCAATCAGATCCCGCAGGCCGGCGGGCTGGCGGGGGATTTCACGTCAGTGGTCTATATTTTTGCTTTCTTTTAAGCAACAAAACCAATTCCTAAAATAAAATCTTAAGTGGAGACCCAAGTCTATTAAACACAAGTAGAGCAGCTTCGATGCAGGGGTTCCCACAGCCTGACCTACTGGCGTGCCCTGGCCCGTCCTGGAGGCCCCAAGGAGCCGCTAAGGGAGTCTGTAAGGCACGTGTTAGGCCATTAGGGCAGAGCTTCTTCCACATACATTTTAAAGCTTTCTGGGTATGTTTTGGAGCTTCTGAATTCTTGGGGTAGGCCAGGGGACCCCAGCACACACACATGGCCGGGACCCCACAGCTGGGAGGTGCCATCACGCCTCGAGTGCCATCCGCCCTCTCACGCCTTGCTCCTATCTCAGATGCCGGGAGGTCGAGGGGAGCAGGTGGAGGCTGAGGTGCCGGGAAAGATGCAGGGGCTCCTCAGTCTTGGACTGGGCTAAGCGGATCCACTGCTTAGCGTTCACCGGGGGAACCAACACACAGCATCGGGACTGGCCAAGGGCCCTAAGGCCAGCAGATACACACAACCTGGGCCGTCAAAATGGCTCCACCCGAAGTCACAACAAACCACTCGGGTGTGCCGTGCAGGAGCTCGGTAACAGGAGCATTTTCCTTTTTGAATAACGCCAGAGAGAACGTCTGTGGCAATGGTGCAGTGACGGGATTTCCCAAATAATGCTAAATTTTCCTTGATCCACAGTTTGTTTGGGAAGCTCTATGAATGCTTAATAAAGCAAGGACTCAATACGTCATGTAGCACACTTGCACTTTTCAGAGTGAGAAAACACTGCCAAGGTCACTGGGACTCTTCAGGGCCACTTACCTCCACGAGTCCGAAGGCACCGTGCCACGCGGCGGGCGAGTACCTCACCACCACGGCTCCTGCCTGGGGCCGGGCTCACCCTCGGGGCTGTTTCCCCCCTGGGCTGACTGCACCAGTGGCTCAGTGGCAAAGCCGAGGCTCACCTGGGAGGGGAGGGGCCAGGAGCTGATTGGACAGCAGCTGCAGATGCTCCAGCGTGATGTCCCGGATGGCAGGGATGTGGAAGAGGCGGGTGAACAAGTGTGGCAGCTTGGGGGCGAAGATGTTGAGCAGGGCCATGCGGCAGTACAGCCTGGCCAGCGCGGCCTCGCACCGGAGCAGCTCTCTGTGGGGAAAGCAGGGAGAGGTGCTGAGTGCCGGTGCCCCAGCCCCTGCACGGGCTGGGCCACAGGCCTCTCCTCTGGCCCTGTGTTCTGTAGGCCAGGTCAGTCCCTGGGGTCTTAAATAAAAAGCCACGTTAAAGTACGTTTGGATTTTCTCTACTCAGAAATCACCGCGGAAAAAGCAATGAAGATATAGGTCCCCACAGAAACTTATGTCCACATCAGCATTATTCTTAGCAGCCAAAACGTGGAAACAATCCCACTGTCCATCAGGTGAGGGATGGTAAGTCCGCACAGTGGAATACTGCTCAGCAGTAAGTGGGATGCAATACTTCGTGCTTCGACGTGGATGAACCTTGAAGACATTCTGCCAAGAAGAAAAAACGGCAGACACAAACGGCTGCATATTATGTGATTCCATTTATACAGATTGTCCAGAATCAAGCAAATCCACTGAAATGGAACAGAGTTGAGCTAGCGGAGAGCATGGGTACAGGCCTCCTTCCTAGGGTTATGAAAAGGTTCTAAGATCGATGGCACTGGTGGCCGCACACCTCGGTCTCTATATTAAATACCACTGCCTCGTATACTTTAAACGGGTGAGTTATCTGGAATGTGAACTGCAGCTCACTAAAGCGGTTCAAAAATATCCACTGCGAACGTTTTTTGTGTCATCAGTTTATGAAGTAATTGCCATTCACCTTGAATAACAGCTGATTAGTGACTAAGCAGGTCTCATTTAGAATTCCATCTCTTGGCAAATAATCTAATACTAAGCGTAGGGGAGCCTCCCTGTGTTTCTTTAGCTAGTCGCCATTATTAAAAAGTCTCCTGGTATTAAGCACTAAGCTAAAAAAGCAAGTTGGAAGCAGCCCTACTGTTTCTAGGAAGTGTCGGTTTAAAACCCACTTGGAGGCATCAGGGCTCATTCTGTGTCGCCCACTGAGCTGAACTAAATTTAACACTGGTCTGTCCTAACTCAGATTTGGGCACAACAGCAATGAATGAAGCCACCGAATACCTGATGAGTTTGCACAGCTACGAAGATAAACAAGAAGCAGCCAAGATGTGGCATCTGGGTGGTTTCTTTCTCATCCCCACCAGTCTGTAATCAGTTCGTGCCAGAGTTTGACACCGACCACTCCAGGCTTGGAGCTGTCAGCACAGGGCCTGATGTGGAGTTCGAACCCATGAACTGCGAGATCGTGACCTGAGCCAAAGTCGGAAGCTTAACCCACTGAGCCACTCAGGCGCCCCCTTCAGTCACTTTACTGATCAAACGAACCCATACAGCATGGTTCTTATTACCCCCAATACCAAGATCACAGCCATAATACTGAGAATAAACATCCTACATCTGTAGCCTGCCTGAAACTCTACAAAGCACTGTGCCTTTTCACTCAGCTGCTAGTCAAAGGTCATTAACTTACATCTTAATTACATCCATCAGAGACATTTGCTAAAAATACAACTGATTAAATAAAGCTTTAAAAGCTTTAAAAGCTTTCAATAGCATCACACTGATACTCAAGCATATGTTTTGGGCTCCTTTTCAATAGATACTTCGAGTTTACAATGTGAGCCAGGGCCCACATTCGGCACCGGGGGCTCTAGCAAAGAATCAGTCTCTGCTATTAAGAACCCCACGTTCTAGGAGGAGGAGACAACCCAAGAAATGAATTTTAAAAACAAGCAAAAACCTCAGGTCCCGGAAGAGAAGTGAAAGGCAGTGCTATGACGACACGTGGCTCCGCGCTTACTTCAGACGGTAAAGCGAACTCTCTCGGCAAGGGGGACGTACTGAGATCTGAATGACAAGAATGAGACAGCCGTGCAAAGTTCTGCGCAAAGCACCCCAGGCCAAGTGACAAGCACACACGAGGCGCTGCCGAGGACGCAAGCGGCTGTGTAGGAGGCACGGGAAGGCCATCAGCGCTGGCGGAAAGTACGTGGAGGGCGGAGGCTCTGAGGCCCCGGAGGGGTTCGTGAGGCAGGTTAGTGGCGAATTCTCCTCCAGGGGAGGTGGAAAGGCACGGAAGGTCTGAACTGGAGGAGAGAGACGAATGGTCTTTGGGTTTTAACCCCCACAGTGCGGGCACATGTTTCCTTGGAGATCTCTGCCCGGTGTGAGGCACAAAGCAGGCGCTCAGGAACGAACACCGAGAAATAAGCTGGCTGTTCACACGGTGTCTGGACTGGCCTTACTCTTTACAGCTTTCCCACACGCGTGCCATCTCCACCCACCCCTCAAGCGCCTGTGGCACAGGCTGGGTGACACGGGATCCCACATTTCTTCCCAACTCCTGCAATTTTGCCGTTATTTTATAGCTTCCCTCTCTCAGCTTTGAAGGAAACCTCGCCAACAACGAATAGTACATGTGGTAAAACACAGTAAGCAAATTTCTGTGATCCCCTAGAAAGAAGGGCTCAATTTTACCTGTGAATTTGAAGGTTGGTATTGTCCAGCGTGACCAGCCCGTTGGTGGCGGTCCTTCGGTAGCCCGCCGGGGGCCTTTCCAGCATGTCAATGGGATACCAGTACCGGACCAGCACACCTTCACTTCGGAGGTATGTTTCTACCTGCACCAATTCGTTTACCTACAATAGTTAAAGGAAATATCTATTGGACTCTTTGGACACGGACCTTTCCCCTCCAAGTTTTAAAATACACGTATGTGTATTATATATAAAACCAAAGTTTTGGGGTGCCTGGGTGGCTTGGCCGGTTAAGCGTCCAACTTCGACTCAGGTCGTGATCTTGCGGTCTGTGAGTTCGAGCCCTGCGTCGGGCTCTGTGTTGACAGCTCAGAGCCTGGAGCCTGCTTGGATTTTGTGTCTCCCTCTCTCTCTGCCCCTCTCCTGCTTGCATTCTGTCTCTCTCAATAAAATAAACATTGAAAAAGAATTAAAAAAAAAAAAAC